AACCAAATGAAGCTTCCAGGACCTTGCCCCTGTCCCCTGGGGGTGGGGTGAGGGGTGGGTCAGGGTTTGCCCCGCCCTGTGGGAGCTACAAGGCTGCTAGGTGACCTGGGTGGGCATGGCATCTCTCTGAACCCCGTCTATAAAGTAAGTTTACTCAGGGGCCCCGGCCCCACCATGATGCCCCTCCCACCCCTGACTCCAGCTCCGCAGTCCCGGCTCCGCAGTCCCGGCTCCCAGGACTTTCCTGCTCCCCCAGCTGCCGCCTCGCTGGGTCCCTCCTGGCCCCACTTCCTCGGGAACAGCCAGGCCCAGGCTGTGCTCCTGGCAGCTCTGCCACCCTGGGCTCTGGTCCGGGGGTGGTCCCCGGCGGCGAGGGGGGCAGGCAGAAAGCCGGGATCCGTTGGGCTAAGGTGTTGGGCATTCGGAGACCTGCAGGCCTCCACCCCAGGGTCCACTGTGCTCCGGGCTGGGGTAGGCAGGGCCCTTTGGAAAAGGGTGGCTTGAGGTTTTAATCACTTTATCAATGTTTGTTTGTGTAATTCAGCCCCAAGATGCTTTTCCCTCCATCTGTCCCCACCATCTGCTCCCATCAGGATTTTCCAAATCGTTTGGGACCAAAAAGGGGAGGGTGGGGGCTGGGCCGCTGAGGGGCTGGGGAGGGGCTACCTCCACCTACCTCCCTGAGAGGCTTCTAGGCAGGGCCAAGGGCTCCTGAGTCAGACAGAACCGGGTTCGAATGCTGACGCTGTTACTTTCTTGCTGGGTTACCTCAGGCAGGTGACTCCACTTCTCTGAAGCCTCGGTCTCCACATCTGTAAAATGGCAATCATAGTACTGACTCCTCAGGGTTCGTGCCAATCAGATGAGGTGACACCTGCAAAGCGCTCTGCACCCAGTAGGTGCTCAGGAGCCAAGTGGTCCCCTCGCCCCTCACCCCCACTGCTTCTCTCTCTGGCATCCTTCGAGCTGGTTGGTTCCTCTTCCAGTGCGAGGGGAGGGTAGCCAGCCCTCCCCTCACTCGGCGGGTGCTGGAGACATCCCCTCCCCTGGGACTTGCCCTCTCTTCCCTCTCCCATCACCCTGCCCACTGCTCGGGTCTTTTCCCAGCCACCCTCCACATCTCCCCTAAGACAGGCCCGTTCTCCCTTCTGGACGCCTCAGTGGTGGGGGGGGGGGCTGAGTATCATCAGCAAGGACACCCTCGCCTGTGCAAAAGACCTTCATGGGAGGCACACGGGAGGGTCCCAGGGCCTCTGGGGCCTCATCTGTGTGTGGTCCTGTCCAGAACTTCAGGCCCGAGCGGGACACTGAGGCAGTGAATGAGGTCTGTCTTGTCCCTGCTCTGGTCTTGGAAATGTCAGGGCACCCAAGTCACCTGCCTAAACCTTCTATGCAGATAGGGGAAGACACTTGCTGCAAAGCATCTGGAGGTGAGGGACCAGGACTCCTGACAACTGCCCCCTGTCCACCGCCCTCTCTCAGATGAATCTCAAGGCACAAGGTCTTGAGCCAAGAACCGTGATGTGCAGTGGGGGGAGCCCCGAGCCTTCCTCCTTTGCTCACAGGGGTCTCCTAGAGCTCCTCGGGCTCCTGGGAGGGGAGAGGTGGCTGATGGGAGGCACCCAGCAGAACCTACCGGGCCCAGACTCTACCTCCGGATCCACCTACTCACTTGGGGTGCAGGCAGAGGAGGCAAAGGGAGGTGAGGTACCCAGGCTGAGGAGCAGCCATGGTTCTGCCTCCAGAAGCCCCTGTCCGGAGAGAAGAGGCAGGATGAAGACTGCGGGCCCTGAGGGCCGGGCATCGGAGCCCCCCTCACAGAGAGGAAAGCCGTGCGGCTAGGAGACGTGGCCTCCTGCCAGGCTCCTGAGCGGAGGAGTCAGCCTGGAGGAGATGAAGCCGGGGCGGCCAACTGGGGGAAGCAGAGGGAGGGGCTGAGCAGCCCACGGGAGGGTTGACTGAGACCCGCAGGATGGGCGAGGGGACCTAGAACAGACTGGGAGGATCCTGGCTTCCGGTGGGCGGGAGGGCGAGGGGGAGGGGGAGGGCGAGGAGGGCCCCAAGCGCTGACTGCGGGGCAGGCCCCTCTCCCTGCCCAAGCACAGTGGGTCCTCCCGGCTCACTGGGGCCAGGGGCGAGAGCTTGTCACTCAAAGGGCCTGAGGTGCAGGCTGAGCTGCAAGCCTCTTCCCACCCCCAGGTCCCGGCGCAGGAGGCAGCTGGGAACCACCCACGCGTGTCTGGCGTCTCTCACGCCTCCACCGGGGGTCCCAACACCAGCGCCAAGGCACACACCGGCACGGGTGTTCTGGAGGGCCCAGCGCCTTCCCAGCCCTCCACAGCCCGGCCCCCCAGCTCCTCCAGCTGAGACCTCCCCTCCCAGCTTGTTCTCAAGCCAGAGGGGCTCCAGGCCCGGCACTTGAACCACCTAAGCAGCTTGGCCTGGGAACCTGGAGGCGGAGCTTTGGTCTGAGCCCCCAGGGACCAGGAGGGTCCCAGCTGCGGCCACGGAATTGGGAGGAGCTATGCGGTCCGAGGAAAACTGGAGTCGGCCGGCCTTCAAGGACCTCCGGAAACCAGGCCCGTCTATGCTACCCCGGTCACGTCTCATCCTTCGTTGGTCCCCTGGTCCCACCCTGGTCCCACCCTGGTCCCCAGTCCTCCAAGTTTGCTCTTGACAGGATGCCTGAGTAAGCTTGCCCTGGAAGTCAGACCCCTCACTCTGCTCCAGGCCCCCGGAGCTTCCCGTGTCGTCTGGAGGGGACCCGAAGTCCTCGGCGTGGCCCTGAGCACTGCCACCACCACCGCAGCCTCGGCAGGCGGGTCTCAGCTGTTCCGAAAACACTTGCCAAACACCCCATAATAGATTGGACTCGTACACCGTGTCCGCGGTTTGCCGCCTGCTCCTGCAGCCTCGCGGCCGAGAAGCCTGCTGGGCACGGAGCTCGCGCGGGACGGACCTGCGCCCGTGAACGGCCGCCGGCGCGTGCACTGCCGTCCAGGCCGTCCGCTCGCTGGCGGTCAGACACCGGACAGACCGTCTCACCCCTCTGAACCCGGCTCCTCATCTGTGAAGTGGGGGCGAGAAGGACCACCTCCAAGGGATGGAGCAAGCACAAAATTCGAGCTCAGGAAAGGGGATTGTTGCTGAGGCTGGACCTCGAGCGGCTCAGAACCTCCCCCCGCCCCCCGCCCCCCGCCCCGGGCTGGAGATAGATGCTCCCCAGCCCACACAGGCAGAGGCCCGGCCGAGGGAGGCGCGGGGCCGGGGGTGGGGGGGTGTTCCTTGATCGGGGTGGGGGAAGGAGCACTTTAGATCAATGTCGGGAGGTGGGATTCATTCCGAGAGGGGTGGCTCGAGGGAGATCCTAAGGGGCGGTCAGGGTATGGGGGTGCGTTCTGCTCTCAGGGGCAGAGGTGGGATGGGGGCGTGCCTGGTCCCAGAGGACCGACCTCAAGGATGGAGGAGTGGGCGCCGCCTTCTCCCCGAAGAGCCCCCAGGTATGTTCCCGAGTGGAGGCGCGAGGGCAGGGAGGGCAATTAGCGCACCGCCAGGATCCGGGTTCGACGTGCGGCTCAGCGCCCAGGTAGGGGTCGGGGAGGAAGGCGTTGAAGGGCCGGGTGTTGCTGGCCTCGGCCTCGGCAAGAGATGTCTGGGCACTGACCCCTGCCACCCCGTTCAGGCCACCTGAGCCGAGATGCTGAAGACGTGGGGACCGCGGTCCTCTCCCCCCTCCCCCCTGCGGGTGCTCCCCGGCGAGGGGGGCGGGGAAGCGAGGGCATCCCCTTCCTTCTCCCGGGCAGGGGCGGAGCCTTGTCATCGCTCCCTCCACCCGCAGAGCTGGAGGGGAAAGGGAGGAAGAGGGACCCGCTCCCCCCAGAGGAGGGACTCGGGGCGAACGCTGCGGGGCGTCTCCTTCGCAGTCCCTGCCCCCCGCCCCCCGCCCGCCCCTCCGGCCGCCTCTGCCGCCGCGCGCTGCTGCAGCGCCGCCTTCCCTGCGCAGTCGGTGTCTCCGCGTTGCTGGGTGAGTGGGGGCCGCTCTGACCCGGGCTGGAGGATGCGGGGAGGGGGCATGCCGGAGGTAGGGGGCCACGTCCAGGGCTCCCCAACCCTGCGGCTCCTGCGCCTCGCAGGAATCCTCCCTCCGGGTGCACAGCGAGTGGGGGCTCTCCGGGGATAAATGCGTGGAGCTCTCCAGGGTCCTGACCTTCGCGTGGCCAGCCCGCAGGAGTCTTGCTTCGGCCACTCAGAGCGCCCCCTCCAGGAGGGGCCACTAGCCCGGCGCTCTTCCAGTGCTGAGAGGACTGAGGCAGAAGCTCAGGGCGAGAGCTGGGGAGAGGTTCAGGGAAGGTCCTCGAGGCGGGGTTCTGAGGTGGAGCAGTGGGTCCTTGCCATTTGGGGGATTGGGAGGGGGATGTTGTGCAAGACAACAGAATTTTCTACCACCCTGGTTTCCAAGTCTTCCACTGGGAGGGGCAACTCTGAGGGTGGCAGGGAAGAAGGGGCACTGGAAGATCCCTCCTGCCCAGCGCATTTCTCTGTCCCCTCCCCGATGACCCAGTTCCTTGGACCTTGAGGAAGGGACTAAGGGACACACTCCGCTACCCCAGCCCCAATCATTTCCTCAGCGCCCTCCCACACATTTGTTCTGTGGGTCCTCAGCTTGGGACAGAAGGGGCTGATTTAGAAAGGAGGGTGACCAACTTGCAGAAACATGCATATGAGATACTGCTGAGGACACACACAGGTCCCCCAAATGGCCACACAGGCACATCCCCCTCACGTTGTGATGGGTGCATACCCAGTCACATGCATAGATATGCACCGAAACACACAGGGAGATGAATGCGATGCAGAAACCAGAGACACACATGCACCCGTGAGCACATGCACACACTCACCTACGTGTGCACCGAGCTGTGTGCAAATGCATACACAAGGAGCCCCCTTGCCCAGTTTCAGAGACCCAAGCTGAGGGAAGGTTTGCCTGCACACACTCCCACATCCTCGCCCAGAACCGCCCCGCTGTCTCCTCCCCATTGCCGTCCCCTTAGCCCTCCACGCTCCTGCACTGAGGGGACCTTTCTGGGTGGACTAGAGGACAGGTAAGTGTCGGGGGAGGGTTGGCCGGCCACAGGTCTCCCTGGAAGATGGGCCCCGTGTAGGTCTGAGAAGGGCTGCAGCTCCCTCTGGAAGAGAAAGATGGCAGGGGTGCCTGGGGGTCCCACATGCAGATGGCCGTGTGAGCGGTGTCGGCATGGGAGCGTGATGGCATGTGTGGGACATGTGGGGTCGTGGGCTGGTGTGTCTCGATGCACAGGGCATGGGAGTTGTGCACGCATGGCGCCCTGTGTCAGTACATGTGAGTTGTACAGCAGAAGGAATGTTGTCGTGTGTGGAGGCATGGTGACCCATGGTGGGTGTGGGCTGGCATGTGAGTGGCATGGGCGCCGGTGTGTGGAGTGGGGGGCTGTGTAGCCTATGTGTCAGTGTGTATTCATTTGTGTATTGTTGTGCAGGAGTCTTGCGGCATCTGTTTATTTAATACTTATGCAGCACTTATATGTGCAGACATTGTTCTAAATGCTTTCTATGTATTAACTAATTTAATTCCACCACTATCAGGAGGTAGGTATTATGACCCTCGCTTAGTAGGTGAGGCAGAGAGAGTTTAAGGAAATCGCCCCAGGTCACGTAGCTGGGAAGATTCAGACCTGGGATTTCAACCCTGGAGGTTGGGTTCTGGGACCCAGGCTAACACCTGCCTCACGCCACCTGTTGTCAGGCGCAGGTGCGGGGGAGAGCAGGCCCACGTCTGGGCTGCAGGTGTGTTTCGTGGTACTCAGGCACATTTGAGACAGTGAGGGGGCAGTGCACAGGAGGGAGGAGGACCAGAAGCCTTTCTTTACCTTCGAGGACAGCTCTGGGAGTCAGCCCTGTCACTCCATGGCTGTGTAACTTGAACCAGGTCACCTCACGTCCTTGGTCCTGTCTCCTCATCTGTAAAATGGGACTAATCCCTAGGCTTTGCTTTGTGAGGGTGAAATCGTGTCTACCTGCGAAAGCTCAGCAGCTGTTCCCAAGAAGGGCCTTAGGGAACTCAAGCCTCCTTCCCTTCCTCTGGCCCAGGCCAGTGGCCTGGGGAAGTGAGGGTCTGGGGAAATGGCGTGGAGCCTGTCACAGAGGCGGGACGCCTGGGCGCAGGGTGTGTGACCCTGGGCCAGCTCCTCTCTCTCACTGGGGCCACAGAGAGGCTGGGGATGCTGGTGTTGGGGCCCCTACTGGAGTGGTGTCAAGGGACCAGGAGGGCCTGACTCCTCCTCTCCATTTCTTGATTTTCTTGGGGACCCAGGTGGGATCGGCTCAGTGGCCATGGGCAAGCAGAACAGCAAGCTGCGGCCGGAGATGCTGCAGGACCTGCGGGAGAACACGGAGTTCTCGGAGCTGGAGCTGCAGGAGTGGTACAAGGGCTTCCTCAAGGACTGCCCCACAGGCATCCTCAACGTGGACGAGTTCAAGAAGATCTATGCCAACTTCTTCCCCTACGGTGACGCCTCCAAGTTCGCTGAGCACGTCTTCCGCACCTTTGACACCAACAGTGACGGCACCATCGACTTCCGGGAGTTCATCATCGCGCTGAGTGTGACCTCGCGTGGCCGCCTGGAGCAGAAGCTCATGTGGGCCTTCAGCATGTATGACCTGGATGGCAACGGCTACATCAGCCGCGAGGAGATGCTCGAGATTGTGCAGGTGGGCCCCCGGATCCCTCGCACGGCCAGGCGTGGGGCCCAGCAGCTGCCCCACCAACTCTTTTTAGGCTTTTGACAGCCCTTGTGGGTAGGTGGTGGCGGGCACTATTCTCCCAACCCATTCATAACACTTTTTCCCGGGAAATACTTTCTAATCTAAAGAAAAGTTGAGTAAACTCCTGTGTACACTTCTCCCAGATTCACCCATAATCATTGGACCACTTCTGTTGTTGTGTGTGTGTGTGCAATGACAGAACAGACACACACATGACATGTGTGTGATGTTCCGTTGTTGTTCTGAGCAGGCCGCTTTCCCCCGGAGTCCATCAGGATATATTTCCTGAGAACAGGGACGTTCTCCTACGTAATCCCTCGTATGGTTGTCAAAGTCAGGACATTGAACACAGAAACAATGTTATTGTCGAACTTACAGACCATATTCTAATTTTGCCAACTGTCTCTGTGAATGTTCTTTTTTGCCCTCATTTAGGATCACGCACCGCATTTTGTTTTCATGTTTCATTAGTCTCTTTTAGTCTGTAACAGTTCCTCAGCCTTTCTTTGTCTTGCGAGATTTGACATTTCTGCAGAGTACAGGCTAGTTGTGTCTATTGCTCCTCATTCACTCAAGAGAAAACAGGTTCTCAGAGAGGTAAAGACATTTGCTTGAAGCCACACAGCCTCTGAGTGGGCCGCCTGGATCCGTGGTCCACGTTCCATCTGGATACTCAGCCACCTCCCAACCAGCTGAGGGCCCACTAATAACCTCATGCTGAGTGAGATGCTTAGAGCCGTAAGCTCCGAGCATCTTTACAACAACCTTGTCAAACTTAGAGAGGTAAAGTGACTTGCCCAAGGTCACACAGCAAATAAGTGGGGTCAGGCTCAAGCTGACCACTCAGAGCTGCCTCTTGAAAGAGGTCAGGCTTCCAGTTCTGGAGCTGGCCTCAACTTTTAGATGGCCCCCCTGAAAAATAGGGATGGTGATTCTGATCTCACATGTTTAAAGACTTGATATGAACACCATTTGAGTACAAATTTAAGTGTGACATGTCAGCTTTATCTCAAAAAGCTTCTAAAGCATCCATCCCCTCAGTCCAGCGTAAAGACCGTGAAGGCTCTGGTTCTATTTTTACCTGTCCAGTTTCTTGTTCACTACTTTCCTGACCCTCTGTAAAGTGAGGATGGTAACTAACCCAGAAGGCTACTATAGGCATACAGTGGGGTAGGCACTTTGGCAAAAGGCCCAGTTTACAGTTGGCACTCGGTAAACCTTATTTTCCCCCTGCTCATTCTCTGCTGTGGCCAGAATGGCCTTTTCCACGTCCTTGGAACGTGCCCTGAGCAATCCTGTTGCACAGCTTTGCACGAGCTCTTGCTCCCTTTCCCTCTGCCTCTCTGAATCCTTTTTTCTTTCCGCCCCTCAGCTCTGCTGACTGCTCCCCACTTCCAACTCATCCAGCCCCTACTGGGCCCCTGGCTTCTCTGTCATTAAGGGTCTTGGTCTGTTCTCAGCAGCTAGAGTAGAATGGGCTGCCGTGGGATGCGGTCCCCTCCCTATGCCTTTCCCTAGGGGAAAGCCTTTACACTCGTCAATGACTCCCGTGGGCCAGGCATTAAATCTGTAGTTGATGGACAGTGGAGAGTCCTGGGGGTCCTGGTGGAAGGGTTGGGGTAGCTAGGGTGGTGGCAGATTATTCAGGGATTGGGCAGCAGCTGGATACCAACCAGTGTGAACAGGGCGTTCATATTTTACCACTTAGTGTGGTTGCGCTGGTATGGACTGGTCAGTCTTCAGCCTGCTGGAGGCGCCAGCCAGTCCCATTCCTTGGGCATCCTCGGGATTCCTTGGCTGGCCTCTGCTCTCTGGGCCCTGGTTTTCCTCACCACAGCCCATCAGTCAGTCCTAGCCGGCCAGTGCAGACAGAGCTCTGCAAACCCCGTGACCAATTAATTACAAGTCGGCTCCAGTGAAACAATGAATGAGCAGCAATTCCAGACAATTAATTAGGAGGCCTGGGAGTAGAGTTGTCACAAGGGGAGCATTTACTCTCTAAGTCACTCTCACAGTCCTTCTCAGGACCCCGCCCTGTGGCCAAGAGGTGAGTCTCCTAGAGGGGAAGAAATTGCATCTTGGGGCTCTCACTCTGGTGGGCAGGCCACCCCGACCAGCTTGATGACAGGGGTATAAATGTGACAGGGAAGAATTGAGGATGTGGCGGATGAGTAATAATTATATACAGGCTGCTGTGTACTGACCACTTACTTTAGCCAGTCACTGTCCTACACACAGGATTTCATTTAATCCTCTAGACAATCCTCACGAGGGAGATACTGTTCCCATTTCGCAGATGAGGAAACTGAGGTTCACAGAGGTTAAATACTTGTCCAAGGCTACACAGCAAGTGATCACTGGAACCAGGATGCCACTCCAGGTCCGCCCCACAAGCATCTATCCAGCAACTAAGAGGGAGCAGGTTCTAATCTTGTCTTTGCCATTGACTCCCTTTCTGAGCCTCCATTTCTTATCCGGGAAATGGGGATCATGATACCTACTTTTCAGGGCTGTTGTGAGGTTTAGAAATAATGCAGGTAAAGTACCTGGCACGTAGTAGGTGCCTGGTAAATGGTAGCTGGTATTATTGTCCCAGGCAGAGGTTGTAAATGCTAGGAAATCTGAAATGTGCAGTAATATCGGTTGTGGCAGAATCACCTCCCAGGAAAGACCTGATGGTAGAGAGGTCAAGGAACCACAGTGTGAAGTACTTTGAATGCTAAGGGCCAAATGGTTTGGACTTGGTACAGAGGGCAGTGGGAGGTGCCAATTGCTTTCAAAAGGGACGTTCCTGCCAGGTGCCTGGCCCTGTGCTAAGTCTGGGGGATATGTGCACTAGCGAGATGTCCACGGTCCTTATTTGTATGCTGGAGACTAGGAACAATCCAACAAAGGCGTAATTATTTCCAGAGAGGTGTCCCCAAAGGAAAAGCCCAGGAGGCTCTGTGCCAGCGCATGGGCCCTGACCCAGCTTGGATCAGAGAAGGACTCCCTAAGAAAGCGCTATGTAAGCTGAGCCACAAGGAGGAGTGGGAGGCAGCAGAAGAAGCGTGGGGCAGCATCCAGAAGCAGCTGAGTGCACGGCAGGCCTGGGGGGAGGCCTGTGTATAACTGGAAAAAGGGGGCGGTCTGCTGGGCGGGGGACGTGGTGGTGGAGATCTGTGTTTGGAAAGAGCTTTCAGAGGCAGAGTGGGGGACAGAACCAAGGAAATGAGGTTGGCAGAGACAGGGTGAAGGCTAAAGCTGAATCTGAGGCAGGGTAAATTTTGGTATGGGAGAAGAGAGGCAGGCTCCTTGGAGATGGTTTCAGTAGCAAAAAGCTGGAAAATTGATACGATGAGTCGGTCCGGTCCTTTAGGTCCAGGACTCAGCCCATCCCTACGTGCTCTGTATACATTTAGCGCAAAAACCTCCCTTAGCGTCGCCTCCAGAGCTCCAGCAAGTGGCGACTGCAGCTCTGGACCCAGGCTGTTCCCGCCCCTGGCAGATGCTCATTTGCGTTTATTTGCATAATGATCCCCGCCCCCTTTGGCCCAGCTGCCTCCGGCCTTCCAGCCCAGGGTGCTGCCCAGCGCCCCCTGCCGGCCACAGCGATACCGCAGCGCAACGCCTCCTGTCCGTCAGCTAGCGCTGGCGGCCGGGAGTTTCTGAGAAGTAGTGCTAACTCCGTACTGACCCTCGGAACCTTCGGCCCCGATGTCCTCCAACATCTCTACACATCCCCTGCACTCAGCCACCCCCAAATTTTCGGCGCCCACTCAGAGCTTCCCGCTGTGGGCCTTTGTATACGCAGGTCCCTCGGTGAGCAATTCTTCCCCACCTAGCGCTCAGAGGGAACTTGGTCAGGGCTCACTCCAATAGCGCCCCCTTCTTCTGGGAAGCTTTCCCAGACACTCTTTCGTGAATCCTCTGGCTCCCTACGCCCCCGTGCCCCCCTCCCCACCTCGCCCTGGCGGGAACGACAATCATCAGTGTTCCTGGGGGCGTTTTTGAAGACTGGGGCTGGGCGGTGGCTCAGGCAGTCTTCTCTCACTCCCTGCCTTCCACTCCCGATCCCCAGGCCATTTACAAAATGGTTTCGTCGGTGATGAAGATGCCGGAGGACGAGTCGACCCCGGAAAAGAGGACTGAGAAAATCTTCCGCCAAATGGACACGAACAACGACGGTGAGGGGCAGGGGCGGGCGGGCGCCACACCCCTTCCCTTCCCGCCGCTCGGCTTTGCCTCCCCTTGCTTCAGGGCTGCCTTTTTCTTTATCACTGTTCCCCTGGCCCTGCAGGCAAGCTGTCCCTGGAGGAGTTCATCCGCGGAGCCAAAAGCGACCCGTCCATCGTGCGTCTGCTGCAGTGCGACCCCAGCAGCGCCTCCCAGTTCTGAGTGAGGAGCCAGGTTCCCCTTCCTCCCTGCCTTCACTAGCCCTCTCCCGGCTCTCGGCTTCCTCCCCCTTGTGTCCATCCAGGCTAGGGGCAGACTGGACCTCCCCCCAGGGTCTGCACTCTGCGGGGAGCCTATGGAAAAGGGAACCCTGCAGACCCCCCAACGCCCAAGCAAGCGGTTAGTACCCTCCAACCCAAGAAGGCAGTAGCTCCCTTCGGCAGTGATAGGGAGACACACAGGCTCTGGCTTGGTCCTCCCCTCCAAGTCAGCCTTCAACCCGCCTGCCTCCCTCCCTACCACACGCACTGCCACGAGGCCAGACTTCCCTCCCCCAACTACCAGGCTAGCTCCCCCCACCCCTGTGCGTCTCAGCCTGGGTGGAGAGGGGAGAAACAAGCACAGGTGAGGAGAGGTCTTTTTATTTGGAGGGGAGAGGATTGGTGGGGAGGAGTAAGGGAAAAGCTTGAGTCCTTCTTTCCTGCTGGAGGGGCTCGGCCCTTCCTGCTCCGCTTCTGTTGGCCTGGAGGTCATGCTGCCAAAGGAAAACCTCCCAATTCCCGCACCCAGCCGTGAGTCCTCTATCCCCCTGGCCTGCCTTTCAGCACTTGGATGAACACAGACCCACGGACCCCTCTGTGCAGTTTGCCTCCCTGAGACATACACACACACAGGCCCACAGTTAGATGGGCAGACACACCCTGGAGCCCCTCCCCCCCCCCCCACTGCATCCTGCGTGGGAAAGAAGCACAGGCCCCCTGGCCGAGCCCCTCCCCCGCTGCATGAGTCCTTGTGGAGCATCTCTGTTCTTTTTAATAACTTCAGAATAAAGTCTCATTTCAGTGCATGGCTGGGTGGCTGGGGCTGGGGGGGGTGTTCAAATCCCCACCTAGGCCCAGGAATGGCCACTGAGTCCTCCTGGGCTGGCTCCGGGACTCCCAGCCTGGTCACAGTGCAGACTTGGTTGCAGGGCCCCGGTGCCCACGGGGTCTGGGTGCGGCATCAGCCATCAAAGGGTCAGCGGCCCAGAGCTGGAGCAGCTCAGCAGGTCCTGGCCCTCCATGGGCTGTAGGATCTCCTGCATTGGTGGAGACAGGTGGCTGCCAGGCTGTGGGATCTGTGTCTGGGTCTCCTTCTCCAGGACACCCAGGGAAATGGAAGGAGGGGATGGCTGGGAGGGTCTCTGAGGCAAAGGCATCACTTCATCCTCCCACCAGGCAAGAGCCAGGACATACCCTTGGAGTGCCCCTCAACTGGAACCCAGATACCCTCCCTCCACCTCAGGTCCTGGGCCTTGGGGGAACCAGGTGTCAGCTGTGTGACTTAGCTGGGAGATCTGACCTCTCAGCTTCCAAGTCTCTCCCTTGGTCCTGGGGAGAAAACTGTTGTCCTAGTTCTCAGGTGGAAGCCCCACGCAGAGGGATGGGGGCTGCCTAGCCCGAATTCCCAGGTTTGGGGAGTCAAGGCTGTGGAGGGGGTGACAGGTCTTACCATGTGGTGGCTGCTTTTCCCCCACCAGGGCCTCAGTTCCAGCAGCTGGTGGGCAAGCTGGGCACATCGCACGGCGAACACACTTTCTGCCACGCAGAACAGAAGTGAGATGCCCCAGAGGCACAGGCTGGAGCTCTGCAGGGGCACAGGGGGCAGAGATGGCAGCAGGCGTTGGGGATGGAGAGTGGGACTGACTCAGAGCACCCTTCCCACCACCTGGATGACCCCCGCCCCATCCCTGGTCTAAGCACTCACATAAATGCGTGTAGGGTCGAAGGGACAGTCGGGCGCCAGCGCCAGCAGTTCGGGGCTCTCAAAAGTGCAGGCAGCCAGCAGTGCCTGGCCCTGGGTGGCAAAGGTCACGGCGATCGAGGCCAAGAGGCCAAGAGCACAGGTCAGGGAGAGAAGAGCACAGGCCACGCTTGAGCTAAACACTGCCCAACGCTGGATAGGAGAGGCCACTGGTCAGTGGATGTCAGGCTTGACCCCACAGGCAGCTCTGGCCCCCGTGGGGGCAGCTCACCCCTTCCAAGCAGGCCAGGCCCTTCCTCCCCCGGCCCCATCCCAGGAGGTGCCACATACCAGGGGGATGCTGGGGAGGTAGCGGGACAACACGATGGCTGCAATGCCCGAGGTGATGACCTGTGGGGGACAGTGGGCAAGGGGGTCAGGGCCACTATGGGATAAGGATTCCACCAGTGCCAGCCGGCACTCTCCAGACCACCTCTTCCTCCCCAGCGTAGCCTCGGCCTCATGACCTCGATCTGCAGGGAGGCCCTGCCTCTTCCTGGTCCAGCCCCGAAGTGATGTTTCTCAAACACAACCACTTCCTGCCTACGGCCTGCCATGACCCCCCACTGCCTACAGCTGTGTATCCGAAACAATGACCTATATATCCCAGGACCACAGGGGCGTGGACCAGGATGCATATGACTTGCCTCCCTGGAGTGGAAGAGATTTGGGGAGAAACTAACTCATCTGGCAAGGAACTAAAAAATGCAAAATAAATACATAAACCAATCAGGACCCTTCATGGAGTATTCAGAATCTTAGGAGTAAATCATCTCAGGCTCTCAGTGACCTGGCCTCGGTCCCATCAGCTTCTCAACCCCACCCGACCCTGGCCAGTCCCTTCCCTCTTTGCCCTGGATATGGACACCCACACACAGCCTGCTCACGGAGCTGCCCATGTAGTGCCCTCTCAGGAATGCCCTCCCCGCTCCTCTTCACCTGCTGGGGTTCTTCGTCTTCCTGCGGGACCCCCTAACCACCCTCAGCCCTTAGCCCCAAGAGGCGGGCATCTAGCCCCCCAGTTGCCCCCTGGATCTTTTGGGCTCCATTCAGCCACGCTTCCTCCCTGAGCTCCCACACTCTATTAGGCACGGGCTGGGCCCATAGGAGGCAGGCGGCGTGACAGGAGGTCCTGGACATCTTTAATTCACTGTGCAGCCGCCAGTAGGTGCCTCTGCCTCTCTGGGCCAAGTGCCGCTCTGCAGGATGAGCTTATGGAAAAGATACTGGCTTTGGTGTTAGACACAGTCATTCCAGATCCAGCTTGGCTTCTTTGTATCTGCAGGAGGCTGAGTCCCTGAGTCTCAGTTTTACTCTGTAAAGTAGGGATGACAATGGCCCCGTGTGGCTACGAACAGAGTTAAATGAGATCATGAGGGTAAAGCAGAAGTGGTCCCGCCTGCAGCCCGTCCCTGGTGGACCTCCTACCCCTGAGCTCACTGCCTCCCCTGCCTTCCACCCAGGCTGGTGAGAGGAACAAATGACGGTAACAGTAACTCCAAGGGGCACCTCACACATTGGCATGGCCCAGCCCTGTCCTGCTGACGGAGGCTCCCATACTCGGGCCTGTGCTCCTCTCCATCCAAGCCTTGGAGGCCAGCAGGCCGGCCGAGCTTCATTATGAGGGCAGGGAACAGGCTCAGACAGAGAAACAAGTCCCTTAGCCAGAGGTGGCAGGAAAGGAACTCAGACACCGATGTGCAGATGTTGTCCCAAGGCTGCGGCCACCTCTGCTTCCAGGTGGGAAAGAACTTTATGAACCTGAGAATATTGAGCCCCTTCGTTCGCGTATTCACCTAATAGGTATTGACATCCAGCCCGAACCACGGCTACCATTTATTCAGTTCCCACTGCAGACCAGGCCTAATGCTAAGCTCCCGATAAATTGTTTTTCTCAATGTCTCCAGAACAGAGATCTTAGCCACTCCCCTTCCACACCTTTGCACCTACCGCTCTCTGTACTTGGAATCCTACCCAGTGTCCTCCGCTAGCTGTGGCCCCAGCATGCCCCATACCTGGGGTACGGTCATTGCAGCCCACCTTTGAGTTTCTACTCATCCGTCGTCAGGTCCCAGCTCAGGGGCCTCTACCTCCGTGAGCCCTCCCGAGCCTTCCCAGGAAGAACGGGTGCTCCTTCCTGTTGTCCAACAGAGCCCCGACTATCCGTACTATAATAGCAACCCTAGCTCGCAGTAGCGAGCACTGAGCATGTGCCAGACACAGGGCCAGGCACTTTATGTGGGTGATCTCATTCAGCACTCAGCAGGACCCTCTGAGGGGGACGCTGTTCGGACCCCCACTTCACAGATGAGGAAGCTGAGGCAGCAAGGTTGAGCGGCTCGTGTGCAGAGCAGGGGCCGGTGCTCCAGCTCTCTGCTTGCCCATTCCAGGCCCTGGGTGGAGACTCATCAAAGACCTCTCAAACCCCCTCCCAGCCTGGTCATACCACGATGGCGGAAGTGACAGAGAGGATGTTGACCACGCAGTACTGCAGGGCCACGGCATCATGGGGGGCAGCCACATAGCGCAGCACGGTGCCATGGAGTAAAGCGGCTGCGATGAATTTCATGTGGCCCAGTACCACCAGCACCAGCCCCGTCTTCATCAGCACCTTCCGGAAGTCACCCACACTCAGGCCACCTGTGGGGGACAGCTGTGTCAGGGCCATGGGTGGGGCTCACTCTGCTGGGCAGAGAAAACCAAGGCCCTGGCAGGAGTGATGGACATTGGGTTCTAAATATTTCTGGAGAATTTGAGGCTATTAACTTATCTTCTCTGAGCCTCAGTTTCCTCATCCAGAAAAGGGGTTCACAATACCTTCTTGAGAGTCCTTGGAATCTAAGGTTGGAAAAGCACCAAGTGGTACTTAATAAAGAATGGTAGCCCTGGCTGGTGTAGCTCAGTGGATTGAGCGCGGGCTGCAAACCAAAGCATCACAGGTTTGATTCCCAGTCAGGGCACATGCCTGGGTTGCAGGCCACAGCCCCCAGCAACTGCACATTGATGTTTCTCTCTCTCTCTTTCTACCTCCCTTCCCTCTCTAAAAATAAATAAATAACATCTTAAAAAAAAAAAGATCTGATGCTGCAGATTTCTTAAAAAAAAAAGAAAAGAATGGTAGTCCTTGTTAGTTCTCAAGGTCATGAGCGGCCAGGCTAGGATTTGAACATAGCTCTCTAGCTCTAGACCCATGATCCTTCTGTGACCGGACACAGAGCATGGGTCCCTTGATAACAGAGGGATATGCTCACAATCCTGCCTTCGTTTAGGCAGGATGTGAGGCAGGATTGGAGGCAGGGAGAGTGGGTACAGCTTTTAAGATAACATTGCATAACAAAAGGCAAATTAATAGCCGTGCCTTCCTGAAGGGAAGAGGGCTGCCGCCCAGGGCAACAAAAGAGGGTCAGACACACTGGGGAGCGGACAAAAACAGGGGACACTTATGCACTACAGGAAGGGCCGGATAGTAGAGCAGGCGGGAAGTTCTAAGCTGAGCACTTAAAATTGGAGCAGGAGGCCCGAAGGTCCCACAGAGAGAACATGAGGCCAGAGAGGCCTGTCAGAGGTCTGAAGGGCGGTGGGAGGCGCAGGCTCCGGGGAGGTCTACCTGGAAGTCTGCCGGGAAAAGACAGTGGCAGAGCTGGCAGTGCTGCGGGGGCCCTGCCTGGCCCCCCAGACTCGTGAGACACGCTTGGAGCTGAACTGGGACTGAGAATGCTGGGCTGCAGACTTCCGCTTTCCTGAAAGGTGGAACCTCTGAGTGGCGCACTCTGAAACTGGTTTGGCAGAAGGAGGCAGGAACATGTGTTTCTGGGTGATTTTAAAGGGAGTGGAACTTAACGGCAGAAATTGGCCATTATTCCAAATCTGTATAACCTTTGAATAAATGGCCCCTTTCCTTTTTCATCAGACTCTCCACTGGGAGTGATGCTTCTTGGTGGTGGGGCAAACCCCACTCGCTGGTTCTGTAACACTCCCATTCAGTGCCCATCCTCTGACTTATTTCTTCCTGTGCTCATTACACTAATTTACACAGATGCCCACGGAGTGCCTGCTCTGTGCCAGGCCGTGAGGTAGGACCGTGAGCTTGACAGGCTCTGTCCTGGACCATCGGGCAGGGAGCAGGTCCTGCTGGGATCCAGTCCGGTGGATTGGGCCTGGCACACAGTAGGCACTCAGCTCACAACTGCTGAACTGCACTACCTAGAGGTGGGTGATTCAGGGCTGGAAACTCAAGCCTCTGAGTCTTTATTTCCCAATCTGTAAAGAGGAAAGGAAAAAACTTGTCTCCCGGTGGGAAAGCAGGGGCATACCCTGAGGGCGCTGGGTAAAACAAGGTCTAGCTGCAGGAGCACTGGGCAGGGACTGGCACGTGGGCGGGGGGGGGGCTGGGGTCAAAAGAACATCAGGGACTCAAGCCACTTCCCAGTGGCCAAGTGGCTGTGAAGCCCCTCTCTGCACACCCCCAGGAACAGGGCATCCTTCTGCTCTGGCAGCTCAGGCTGTTCCAGATCTGCTCTCTGGAGCTTCCCCCATGGGTCCTGGCTGTACCCTCGCAGACACACCATGCTGGTCCCCTGGCCTAGCTGGACCCCTTACTCTCTAGCTAGCTCTGTGACGCTGGAAGGCCAGGTCCCCAGAACTAAACAGCTCCTTCTTCCTTTATGTACCTGGGGGAGCAGGGACTCCCCATCTGTAGATCATATTTCATATATGGGAACTTTACAGCTAAAAAAAATGAAATCAGTAGATTAAATATTCTTGAGGACCTTGTGCCAAGAGGCAGTTCCCAGGAATCGGGGGCGGGGGGGGGGGGCGGGCATCCAGTCACAGACACTCTGTGTGACCTGTGCCAGCCCCTTTCCTTTCTGAGGCCCAGGGTCCTCCGATGAAAAAGGGGGAGAGTTTGATCTGGCTCTTCTGAGGACCCAGACCCTACAGGACCCTCTGGAACTGGAGCTGGACCAGAGGTAGAAGAGTCTGAGAGCAGATGCCAGGCTGGACAGGCATGTGGGACTGGACTGGCAATGTGGAGATAAACGGCCAGCCCAACAGGAAGGGGCACGGCAGCTTCATCCCAGGGCTCCGACCCACCACACCCCGTCCGCCCACCCACCTGGCAACCCAGGCAGCAACCACTCAGGGTTGACCGGGCTCACAAAAACCAGCAGCATCCCAGGCCCGGGAGTGTGATCAGACTGGAGCCACTGCGCCACGGTGGCTGTGCCTGGAGCACTGGGCAGAGAGGGAGGGTGGTCTCTGACTTCTGTTTCCAAGTCGTCTTTCTTGGAGCGCTTAGCAGTGTGGTTGGCCCTGTGGTAAGCACTTGATTCCTAGAGCTCACTTCATCCTCACAGTAGTCCTAAGGCTGTGGGGCTACCATCCCCATTTTACAGACGAGGAAACTGAGGCTCACAAAGTCTCCTAGCTAGAGAGCAGGGACTCCCTGGGTCTGTCTGACGCCCAAGAGCAGCACCACTGTGCCCAGGGAGCGAGGGCTCTCCTCTGTCTGGATCCTGTTTGCCAACGGTCCTTCTCTCCCGGCCTGTTTGGGGGAGCGGAGGGTGTGGAAGTGGGAACCCTCCACAAGGCTGAGGAGGCATAAAGCGGGCAACTTCTGGCTCAGAACTCCCTGGGCCCTGGACCCCTTCTCTGCTTTTTCTTCTGGGTGAGGTGGGAGCTTGTCTTTCCCGCATTTTCCCCCAGGGGCCTGGGGGTCCCACCTCCCCAAGAAAGAAGAGTGGGGAAGGGCATGGATAAGATACCAGCAGCCCTCTACCCTCCATATCACTGCTGGGGAAACTGAGGCTTATGGCAGAAAGTGACCGGCAGAGAAGGTGGCCTGGACCCCGGGATTCTGGGCTCCCCCGACAGCGCTCCGCCCCCTGCCGGCGGAGTCGGGTGGGTTCATGCCTCCCGGGGCGTACCCCCGCGGCTCACCAAGGCGCAGACACATCTTGTTTTCCGTGCAGGGTCTCCGAGGTCAGCTCAGCGGGGCTCCAGAGGCGGAGGGTGACATGGGGGCCCCGCTCCCATCCTGGTCTGCCGCCGCCGCGCACCCCGCAGCCGCTTCGCGCCCACTTCCCGCCTGGAGCCCGGACTCGCGGCGCGGCCAGCCTCCCTTCCCGTCACCCCCCGGGCGGCCCTGCCCCGGGAGGGCCCTGGCGGCTGGCTTGCATCCGGAGCCGGTTAGACCGGCTGGGCAGCCCTTCCTGGTCGGACCAGCTTAGTCACAGCGCAGGCCCCACCCTCCCCCGCCCTCCACGGATTGCGGCTGGCACCTGGCCCCTGCCCACACACTCCTAGCCCACCCCTACTTCGGTGATGCCCATTTTACAAATGGAAACTGAGGCTCAGAGGAGCCGACCCTCCAGGCTGGGGAGTATGGCGGAGTGTGTGTTGGGGGGGAGGGGGGTGTTGTGTGCATGTTAGCTATGGTTATTGTGACCTGGCAGGCAACTGGGCGGAAATCTCCAGGGTGAAGGCCGGGAAGTCACTTCTTTCTAGAGGACGTGGAGACGCAGCAGTGGGTGGTGAAGCAGCACTGCCTGGGAACCAGGGTCTGTCCCTAACAGGCTGTGCGACCTCAGGCGAGCTGCTTTTTCTCCTGTTCCTGGCCTGAGATTCACCTCTGCCTTGGTGGTGTGGGGGTGGGGGGGAGTCTCTGTTCCCTCACTGGAAAATCCGGGATAATAGTTTCTGCCCCCTAAGATCGTGGTGAGATAAAAAGATAAGAAAATGCCTTGAAAACTCTCTGGAGTATCTTGACAAAGTTTAGACCTGGCAGGAGCACATAGTAGGACCTTTAGTAATCCTGGCTATTGGTTCCTGAGCCCCTTTAGTGTTCCAGGGTGGACCAGTGCCCTCCCTTGCTCCATCCTCACCATCTAGAGGTGGCCTTGCCCAAGAGTGGCCAGCTAGAAGTGGTGGAGATTCCCACCCAGGTCTCCGTGCCCATGTTCTTCAGTGGGCGCACCGTTTGCCTCCCTGGCCAGGGCCCCGGGGGGCAGGGGCTGGTGTCTATGGTCCCTGGGTGCTCAGTCTAGACTGGCATACCAGATGTCCACTGAATGTGTGGCTTTCCGCACAGCTACCCGTGCCTGCCGTGTGCTGGCGCCTGGGTCAGCACACACAGGGCCTCTGAAGTGCTAATGGAGCACATTCCCACCAGAGCAGGAAGTGGAGCCATCTGGAATAGGGACTGCCCCCGGTCCTCTCTGCCACCACTGTTGGGCAGACGTGCTTCCCTGTCATACGCTTTCTGAAGGGGGGCAGTGGGTGACGGGTGCAGGGTGGGAAGAAAAACTTGTGAGGTAAAAGGCAAGGTGGGGGCGGTTCCTCAAGCAATCAGCTGCCATTTGAATGTGGATGTCCATGTGGCAGCCTTTAGTAGGGCCACTGGCCAGGACGCAGCTATATTGTGAATGGTCAAACACTTGCATTTGCGACCCAGCAATTCCATTTCTGGATCCACACCCCGCACACCAAAGAGTGCAGACACGCACACGCCTTTAATGGCGTTTACGGACCAGCTGTTCCTAATAGCGAGCGGTAGCACCGAACTGGCAACCAGGAGAGGTGTGGGCTGGCGGGGAGCGGGGGGAGTGGTTTTTGTTTCACGCGTGGCTATACTGTCGAAGTCTGACAATGAGCATTTATTCGTGTCCTGCTATTGTAAGAAAGGAAGGAAAAAAGCCCTCCTTGGTGGTCACTGCTGCCCTGCCCCTACTTTATCAACAACTCCGAGATGACAAAGGCCACCTTCAGGGGCTGCCCTGGAGAGCACGTGTGGTCACTGCAGAGCTGGTTTCGAATCTCACGTGTGTACATGCATGAGGCTTCTCCATCAGTCAGTGCCAGGCAGTCCCCTTGACACTGAGCCCACCCAGGGCCTTCTGGCATCAGGTTGAGGAGCAAACCTTTTAAATGCCTCTGCTTTAAGATGCATAGATGAGGGTTCTCTCTTTCTATCCTTGGAACAATGCCGACAGTGAAAGATCATCAACCCGTTTTACAGATGAGAAAACTGAGGCAGAAGGTAAAGGGCCTCTCAGAGATCACACAGCATGTTATCAGTGAGGTAGCTGAGACCTGAGTCAGGCCTGTGTAGCTGAAGGCTGCCCGTGACTTCTGAGTGTGGTTGGGGACAGTGGGGAGCCGTAGCCCTCAGGGAGTGGGCCTGCTTTCTGGGGCCTCTGAAAAGGGAGAACTGCCCACCTATTTCTCCCCAGACACAGTTTCCTGGCCAGGGCCCAGCCTTAGCAACCTGAAGTTATTGCCATTTCTTTTCCTTATTGCCAAGCGGTCAAAGTCCATCAGTCCGAGCCACACAGTGTCCCTTGCCTCTGCCCCACCCCTCTGCACACTGGCCTTAGGTTCCAGGAAGCACCTCCGGCCAAAGCTCTAGTCACTTGTCCTCCACCAACTCACTGTCGTTCCTGGGGCCTCAGTTTCTCCATCTGTCAAATAGGGATAATGATCGCCTTCCCTGCTTCCCAGATTTCTGAGGCACAACTGACTAACTTAAGTGAGGTGAGAGCTGGTTGAAACCTAGCCAGAGAAATACAAATAGTAATTCTCTCTCTTCCTGTTAAATGTATGTAGTGAGCTACTTTTACAACCACATATTGCGCTTAACTGGAGGCTGGGTCTTCCCAGGGCTGCTCAGCTGGGGATGGTGGTTTGGGGCCCCATCCCCGTGCAACCCCTTCTCACCTTAACCCCGTCCCCCCCTTACAGGAACAGTTCCTCCAGGTGAACAAAACAATCACACACAGACCCTGCATGTTCTCATGTAGGTATTCGTACGCCTGTACACAAAACTAAAGCCAGCTGACCGTGTTTGTCTGAGATGAGGCACAGTTAAGGGGGCTTTGTGTGTTTACACACAAAGATGGTGTGAATGGGGGTGTTTGTTATTCTTTGTGTTTTTCTATCTTTTACATTTCTAGAGAAGACTCATTGTAGAAAATTTGAGGGGCAAACAGGAAAGTATAAAGAAAAAAGTCAGAACCACAGTCCTCTCTGCTGCCACAGAAAACCACCATTCCAATTTGGAAGGTGGTTCCTCTGTGCGTCTATCATATTATTCTTCTTGGGACTCCTGCCACCGGGCTCTACACTGCCACCCCTTCCCGTCACCTTACCGGTCTCCCTCCTTGTCACCCACTTCCACCCACCAAAGGCTTGGGCTTCCAGATTTCCATCAGGCAATCTCTGCCGCAGTCCTGCTCATCCATGTGAATGACCCTCCAATACTTTCTTGACCTCCTCAGTGACCTTCATCATGACCCCAGCCATCCTCTCTGGGGCCATGTCTTGAACACCCGCCACCCCGATATCCCAACCCCAACATCCCTAAAGGCCTCTCCCATAGCACACCCATCTCCGGACTCCCACTGCCTCATCCTCTGACCTCACGGAGGCCACTGGGCCGGTTCTGTTTTCTGTTCGGTTAGCCCCCTGCTGGCCTCTCCACCACCAAATCTGCATCACAAGGTGGAGCATCTAAAGGCCAGCGCAGTTGTTTAGGGGAGAGATGAGAAGTCTGGGGCCTTGGACTTGGACCAGGACAGTGGCTATGGAGATGGAGAGCCGAAGGGAGATTTGAGTGCACGTTAAAACTGGAAACCACTATTTGTAACCCACTCACCTCCTCACTTCCCCCAGTTGCTCCCCCAGCCCCACACGGACACCGCTCCATCCCACCCGCTCCCCCTTTCTGCCAGGTCCTTCCCACCAGCGTATAAATACACCCAAGTCTCTTCATCCTACAAAAACACACTCTCCTCTCGACTCCCTTTACACTTTCAGTTACTCCTTTTCCCTTCCTTGCCATGCCCTTGCAGGCTTCCCGAGTGGGTTATCTTTACTTGCTGTCTGCACCTTCTCAGCTCCCACCTCCTCGGTCCGCAGCGGTGTGGGTCAGCCCTCTGCTGGAGGAGCCCTCGCCTAGGGTCTGCCCATGAACCCCACGGAAGCGCTGCGGCCCACTCCCCCGCACACTCTGTCCTGCTGTTTCCTCCTGCCCCTCTGGTTGTTCCTTCTCGGTCTCCATGGTCATCGGCTAGACCTTTAAACGTTAGTATTCCTTTGCATCCCATCTGCTTCCTTTATTGTTCCCATCGGTTGGTTCGTGCATTGTCACAGCTCCCCTTGTATATGATGACTCTCAAAGCACTCCCCAGACTAGACAGCTCCCTTGAGCATCAGACTCAACTGTCCAGTCACCGTATCTCTCCACCTGTGCGTCTCGCAGTCGTCTCAGGCTCAACACCTACCAGCGGATGGCTTCATCTCTTCTCCCAAACTGCTTCTCATGTTTTTCTGTCGCAGTTGGCGGCTTCCTGATGTTCTCGAGTCAAAACCTGGGACCTATTCTGTGGTCTTCCCTGTCTTTCTGTATAAAGCCCATGATCAAGTCCTGCTGATCTACATAACAATATTTCTGTAACAAGTGCTGTCCTGCTATTACTGCCCTTGTTCATGCAGCATCTCTTGCCACCCCCAGTCATTTTTCTACACTAAGTAATCTTCCTAAAGTATCAATCGGATCACATCACACTTCAGCTTAACATCAAAAGCAGCACACAATAAATTAAAAAAGATAAACAAATGAAAAAGTATCCTGGGTTCATGGATTGTAAGGCTTAATGTTGTTAGGATGACAATTCTCCCTAAACTGATCTACAAATACAATGCAAACCCTACCGAATTCCAAGATGTCTGGTTTTGTTTTTTTGCAGAAATTGACAAGCTGATCCTAAAATTTGTATGGAAATGCAAAAGATCCAGAATAGCCAAAACAATCCTTAAAAAGAATCAGTCACACTTCAGTGATCCAGACAAAGTGGTACTGGCATAAGGACAGACATATGGACCAATGGAACAGAACTGTGGGTCCAAAAGTAAAGAAACCAGAAATAAACCAGAAATAAAAGTACACACGTGGTTAATTGATTTTTGACAAGGGTATCAAGATGATTGAAGGGAGAAAAATAGTCTTTCCAACAAATGTTGCCGGGACAACTGGGTATTCACATGCAAAAGAATGAAGATGGATCCCTACTTCATACCATGTTCAAAAATTAGCTCAAAATCGACCACAAACCCAAATATGAGAGCTAAACTGTAAAACTTTTAGGAGAAAACATAGGCATATATCCTTGTAACCTTGGAT